TTAATTTCCATTTTGTTAAGTAATTGTATAATATTTGCAAAAAATAATTCTCAAGAGTGCTTCAACTCTCTCTTTCGACCTAATATTTGCATTATTACTCATCCATTCTAAATCTATATCTACATCGATTTTTTTTTTTTTTTATTTAATTCTACGAAAAATCGAAGGATAAACTCATGCACAACTATTCCATATTGAAGACTATTAAAAGAAACAAATCACAAGTTCAATATTTTTTCTCTCGTAGAACAGGAAATCCCTATGACGTATATATATGTACACATATATATTCTCGTAAAATATATCGATAATCTTGCACGAACGAATATTTAAATATCTCGTATAATATAAAGATTATAAATATAAGAAAATCATTAATGCAAAAAAAATTAAAGACACGCTTTCTTTTAATTCCACGTAGAATACCAATCACGTAAATCGATGTCTCTATCTAGCCTCTAGATTCTAGTAGACTAACCGACGACGAGACCACGTTACTTTCGTCGTTATTTACATTTGCATTTGCATATTATTCGCGCGGACGTGACGCCATTCGTTCGACGATTTCTATATATTCACGCTCTCTTCAAGGAAACCTTGTCATTCGTCGTCGTTCGAAGCTTTCACGGAGAAATGCGCAAGCACTGAAACCCTCTTTTTTCTCTCGATCGTAATCACCTAGTTATCCTATGGAAGGAGATGAAAGCAGCTTGCACACCATGAGTTCTTTGTACGCCTTGAAACCGGTCGAATCAAACGCCCTTTGTTTTTCAAGGCAATAATTCGGATAATTGACACCATTGTTCGCCCTTGTTTCGTCCGCATCGATGCAAATACGAATTAATAAAAAAAAACACGACCACGAGATAACCTCAAACATGTCCGCCCGATTCCGCCGACCAATAACTGCCCGATCGACAGGATCGCCATCTGTCTTTCGATTCTTCGCTCCCTCTATCCGCCGAATTTTATTCTCCCAAGCAAGTTGAGAATTCTGGGGAATCGTAGGGAAAAATAGGGAATTATTTTAACCCTATGCGCTCGAATGGTAACTTTGCCACCACTCGGTTCGATGTGGTAATTCGACAATATATTTATTTACGTTTTAATTTTTAAAATATCGCTTCACGAATTCCTAAACTCTTTACGTGTAATCTTGCAAAGCGTGGAATAATATAGATTTTCTTTATCTCAAATTAAATCGTGATCGCAAATCGAACTGCTAGAAATATTATTTTCAAAGTTTTCGAGTTTTGTAAGCATACGGAATACGGATAATGATATAGTTCGAGCGAAGATGAGTTTGATCATTCGTTACAGAATAACGAAATTATTTTTATTCGTTAAGAAATCGACGATGGAGGAGAGAAGCAAAATAGAAATATAGTATGGGAAGAAATAGAAATGTGAGGTCACTTTATGAAAAACATTTTATTGCGATACTTGCCCCGACGAAAAATGCAAAATATCACGCAACAATACTTCGACATTCGACAAATTTTCTTTTCATTACACATACATAAAAAAATTACATAAGAATATAAAAGATTCGTTAATCAAATCGTAAAATCATTCTTCAACTTAACCCAACTTCTTGAAAAAACAGAAATTATGGAACATCCGATCCGATCGAATGTCATATCATATCTTCCTTTCTCTTTCGACAGGTGGGAATCGGATCAGAGGGAGAAAAATGTTAACCACGGTGCTCCCATTGCTGTTGATCATCTCGGGTACGTGCGACGGTTTGTGCGTGTTGGAGAACGGAACGAGGGCACGTTGCCAGGCCCTGGAGGACATCAGATACATCGAAACGTACGATCTCGAGCCGCTCAAGGCCCACGTGAGGGAGCCGATCCTCCGCCCGTCCACGGTCTTCGTCAATTTCACCGGCCTCCGCCACCTCGACCTGTCGGCCGGCTCCCTCGAAAGGATAGAGGCGGGCGCCTTCCTTCCGCTGTCCAACCTTAGGAGCTTGAACCTCGCCGAGAATCGTATCCGCGACCTCGAAACGGGCTCCATGGACGGGCTCGACCGATTGCACACCCTCTCGCTTCGCGGAAATCGTCTTCGACACCTGCCCCCCGAACTTGCCCGCCTCAAGCTCCTGAAACACCTCGACCTCCAGGG